GTGTAACCATGTGATGGTGAGAACTCGTGCCGCTATTATAAGATATGTCTTCAGCTACAGTTGAAATGGGAGATGTTTACGGACATTGATTACTACAACAACGTCCTGTGCAGCATGTTAGTCTTGCCTCTGTGGCCGCCATTTCTGGTAAAGACATTTAGTGTATCGAATACAGAGAGTGACAGATCTCACCAAACAGAACAGCGTCTTGAGTGATTGTTGGATGACTGTTGTGCCCACTAACACACACGTTTTCCTCGACAGCTTGCAGCAGTGTTCATGTCTCACCGATACGAAACCAGGTGCTAATGACAAGGCTCTTGAATTAACAATTGGTTCTTAACTGGTCTACGAGCCCAACATCAAGCTGCTTTCATTCGATTCCTAATTGAAACTGTTGCTCCACGCCGGTGTGTATTCATACGGCGCCTCAGTACTGTTATGTGGCAAATAAAGCACGTCTCTCAAGTACTGTTAGCGCTCCACACCTCCCTTTGGGACGTTACTCTTGGCCATCAAGTTGGCGGGCTTCATTGACCGTACATGTTTTCGAACCAGCATAGTAATTATCAGGGGCCGGTAAACCATCTGTCTGGCAACGGACGTACACAGCTTAACGGTATTGTGCATGCTTCTGATATGCATCTTCCAGTCATTGGAGACTGTTCATATTTAACGCAGCTGTTAGCAATGTTCCAATTACGACGGCCTGCAAATAATGGAGTCTGGAACAGTCACATTAGGGATGGATATTATGAGTATCAGTTGACGTTGTCGAAGCAAACATTCACCTAAGCCACTGATCCCTTTCCAATGGATCCAGGGGCTATATTCTTACCGGAATCCGAACCGTCTAGTTTTGACTCATTACAGGCATACGGACTATCACCGGTCGCGTCATACCTAAAGACGTTAAAGGCTGGTACGTGTTGGCCATTGCCTGGCACTCGGCATTGATGGGTAAAACAAGGACTGGTCGGCTCGGAGTCAGTATAATGTGTCTGAGTTGGGTATTCATGCTTAACTGCGGCATGGTATCTCAGTGAGCTAGCACTGTCAAACCATCTGGGTTAGTACAAGCAGACACACATACACACGCATGCACGTCGTCATAGTACGACGTAAACCTCATTTCACCTCACGTCTTAGCGTTCATTGCAACTCAGTTTGCCATATTTCTTGGTTCATGAATGTTGGCGCTGGCAATTTGTCCAGATTATACTTTGGCATTCTGACAAAAACGAATTATTAATAATTTGTTACCCATCCTTATCTTACTCATTTCTGACTGTGAACGCCTCTACTTGATCACCTCTCAAATCCTTGCCAAAATAGACGTAAACATACGTAATATCTGGTATTCCAGTTAATGAGACATCAACATTTGCCAAGCGGAAGTGGCTCCGTTACAGTTGCTGCCTATAGCTAGTAGCAGGCTAGCACCCATAATTCTGTCAATATATTTCTATGTATAGAGTATTAGGTAAAAGAACAAAATGTGTCTCTTGTAGCAAACGAGTGAGTGTTGTGCTACCCCGCAGTCAGCGGTATCCCAGCTGTACTACAGCATTATGCAAATGATTCAATCACTGACCGACAGCAAGAGCACCGACCCATGCTACTCAGAATAACGTATACAGTTATACATACTACAATCTACATAATTCCGAAAATACCGGTCTAACTTCCCTTCTCGCGGATGATGTTTTGATTGCTCAGTCCGTTACCCTCCACAAACCAGTCTCCTAATAATTGCTGTAAAAAGCACCAACAATTTGTGCACTGTGCACTGCATCGGGTAACGATTATGTGACAGACATCTTTCAATAAATAATTTCATTTATAATCAGTCTCATTACTTTTTCGAAGAGTGTTTTAATTCTTTCAATTTTTCGTACTGGGTCGAAAGATACATTCTATTTTCTGCCGTATATCAATTTAACCTACCATCTATTTCGTCTTAATCAATATCGGCGATATAAGGTTCAACATCATCACCGATATACCTTTTAGATTATCAATATACTGACTCACTGTATGTAGCCAATGTCTGAAATACGCCCTGGAAGCCTTCAGTGCAAGTAGGGAAAATGAGCCTTATAAATAGCTGCTTTTAGTACCTCCTTATGCTAATATTTACTTTGTCGTCGTCGTGCGCTTATCAATTATGAAACCATCAAAAATATATTATGTCCTTGAAATGTAGCAGGAAAGCTGATTCAAACATCACAAGCTCAGCATGAACAAGCGAAATAAACAATAAACTCCAAACCATGCAGCAACGCCCTCAACAAATGTCACAGAGCGATCTGATATGCACATCTACCGATGCTTGATCGATTTTTATGCCAACTCAGTATATGCACATTGCCAAATATTGAACGTGGGTTGATAAGTGCATTAGGCAGTGTTTAAAGTGGCGCGACTTAAAAGTCATCGTCATGTCCGATACGTTTTGTGGATTGAAGTGCTTTGGCTAATGGTCCACGGAGGATAATTTGCCAGGTTGATCAACAGGAAAAGCAATGAATAAGCATGAATGAAAGCTCCTTGAAATCATACACAGTATGTGTAACTCAAAGCCAGTAAAGAGACAGGGTGCTCCGTGTCCATATTTTCATCGGTATATACAATATGAGCCCATATATGAAGTGGTAAACAGTATTTTAATGTCAAAGACCTGGTTAAACAATTATCCAGCAGTTATTACGTCTATTACATCAATAACGGCGCCACTTGTGTGTTAATCTTGTTATTTACTCACGGAGGGGGTTTGTGTGCTGGTAGACTCTGTGCCTGACGAAATGCTGCACAAAGTCACGATAGGATCCCCACAGATATTGGTTTTATCATGTATATGATGTTGTGTGCTGCTCCTTTTCGTAGGTAGTGCAGTTAATTCTTCCCCTTTCTCTCCAACTCTAGCATTTGCTCTAAAGAAGAAAACACGGTGAAGTTCTTAATATTGTGAGAAACACGCACAGTGTAGCCCTGTTCAGCCATCGTCTTTTGAAGCACTTGTAGTTGAGAGGAATATATAGAGGTTATACTGTGTAGCTCTTTCTATTAAGAAGCTTACAAGGATGCCATTCTTTTACCTCCACCTGTGCAGCTAATTCGGTGAAGAGGTGTGTTTAGGTTCAGTCCTTCTCACCCGTTCAGTGAAGCTCTTTCTGGTCAGAGGTGTGTGAGAGCATTCTTTCCCTGGTGTTCAGCTCGTTCTCTTGCTATAGACGCCATGTCATTCTTCTACCTCGACTTATTTAGCCCTTTATGTTGTAAAGGGTATATAGACCCATTCTTGTTCAGCCTGTTCGATTCTTCTTCTACCTTGCTAGGTGTATATAGGGTATGTCATTCTTCTCACCCCTCGACTTATTTAGCCCTTTATGTTGTAAAGGGTATATAGACTCCATTCTTCTCCCTCACCCTGTTCAGTTGGTTCTCTTGCTAGGTGTATACATATGTCATTCTTCTCCCTCGAGTTATGTATCCCTTTATGTTGTAAAGGGTATATAGACGCCATTCTTCTCCCTCACCCTGTTCAGTTGGTTCTCTTGCTAGGTGTATACATATGTCATTCTTCTCGCTTGACATATGTAGTTCTTTGTGTTTAGAGGTTTACATAGATATCATATTCTCATCCAATCTCTGTAGTCCTTTCTGTTCTGAAGGGTGTATAAACGCATTCTTCCAACTCGTCCTGTTGGATCGTTCTCTGGTGAGTTTAACATCTTCCTTGCACCTCTTTCTGTAACATCTGCTTTTGTATGGATTTCATGGGTGTCGTAATACTTAAATGGTGTGTTAGAGCACCTCTTCCACATGAAAACAGAGGGACAACTTAACCTCTTTGTATCGGCCTCTTAGAAACCTGGAATTTAGTTCGTGTTATCCGGGGTTCGTGATCACCAATTAAAAGGAATTTTCGAGGTCAAATAAAACTTTATGAGAGATAATTACGCCTGATTGCATGGCGTGCCCACATCCCAGTGACCAGATTGCCGGCAGTGAACGGCAACTGAGGCGTACCACCGATGTAGTTATGTCTCGATCCGATTAAGCCTTGCTGAGTAAACGGGTTGTCCTCGGATCTTTGGTGCTGCTGTTGTGCTGATTATATCTCACACATACTTGTCCCTGGGTCTGTTCACTTCTTGTTGCTGTGAGGAGGACAGACCAATTCTACCGAGTCGCCATTTGAAGCAGTCTCTCCAACGTTTCGCCTCCCTCCGGAAGGTTGTTGTAAACATTCCTAGAAAAGACAAGAATGTCTTTGTATTATGGTCCATATGAACACGTTGCATACGTTAAGATGAGTAGCAGTAACAACCGGTCCGTGAATAAGAATTGTGGAGCCCTCAAGAAAGAGGTGGTACTATTCAAACCATATTGCCGCAATGTTCTCCCTCTCAAAATTAATTCTAATTTCTCAGGGTTGAACCACGCCCCACCTTCTCAAATGAAAAACGTATATTAGGCATTAAGAAAAGCATTCATTTCAGCAACCATTTCGACATTTATATCAAAACTCTCTGTACTCTGTATTTGTACTGTGTGAGACGTGCGTGATGCTTGTGGAATATGTTCTCTGCAGCTGTTTCAAGCTCCGTCTCTAGGTGATCGTTACAGTTATAAAGTCTCGCACAGGATGTTGTGGGTTTCTCAACGCGAGTTGTATATCCCACACATGCCAACGAGCATTGCAGAAAATCTAGAACCCTCACAAGTACATGTTATTTGTTTTTTTTATCCAATGTGTATTTTTGTTAAACGTCGTTAAAATACTGTAACATGACATAATGCATAGTATTTTCTAATTTTAGGATTTGCTTGATACAAATTAATTGTTAATTTCACACAGTTTTAAACATGGGTCGCCTGATGTGGACAATCAAGCATACGATACTACATACTTGCTTCCCAACTAAATTGCAGATCATTTAAACTGAAAATAAAATGTTTCAGTCTGTTCAATATGTTTATTACCTACAAAAAATGGGATCAAAATAATTTAGGCAAAAAATACTGACCATCACAAAAGTGCTGTTATATGTGCAATATCCGTGCCCAGGGAACCAAATAAAACAGGGATAGTATCTGTCCTAGTAACTACTTGATCATTGGAATGGCAGCAGTCTTGGCATGAACAAGATGACATTGACCAGAATCATTTTATCAGTCCAAGCATTTACAAGACGTCTTCAATAGCATGAGGCATAGTGTCTAGTTGAACATAATGAATCATTTGAATCCCCTATGGATCAAATTGAACAGTGTGATTCATTGGATCTCCATGAACATAAATGGATAGAACAAGTCGAAGAAAGTTAACGTTGTTGACCATACTGAATAGCTTGAGTGACGTATTGAGCATGTTGAACAGTGTGAGGAATAGGTTAATTTTAACATGAGTATAAGTCGCTGATTCGAAATACGACGTGAAGTGTTGCTACCCATCTCAGATCCACCCTGATTAGGATCCTTGTTTCACACCCCCATACCACACTGGCTACGGTCTCTGACCTGCCCCTCAGATGAACGTCGTGGCATACCTGGAATACTGCTCATTGCTCATAAACCTAATTCGTTCACTCGCATAGACGATTTAAATATCTTTACGTTGGGGGGACATGTAACATCAAATAATGCGAATCTCTTTGATGGTACAACCATCTATCTTTATATGGTATATTAGAACGTTGTCCCTGGATACATCCTTACACAAAGAATTGACCTCATAGCTTTCTAACAACAGACTGACGTAAACGCAACAGAGTTACACAAATATACATCCTCATTTTTAGAATCAGATGTCCCACCACACACCGACCCAGAGTGTTCTGAAAGATTATCTCAACTTTACTGTTGTGCTCTCCCAGACATAGGTTGAAGGTTGAAACTCTTACCATATACTAGCGGGTCCATGCACGCGTTTGATACAGCAAATAGGAAAAGTCCTCTTTGTACTTTCTGGTCAATCTTCTTGGCGGCTTCCCTGTAAAGTAATCATTGATCATTGGCAATTTGGATACATTTCATCTTTATGTTTTGTCTTTACATGGAACTAAATAGGAGCCTGTCCTGTTGATAAATATGCTAGGAGTATGTGACCACTTGCATTGAAGTGTATATGTCATCTGGCATGTGAGTGAGCATGGGTTTTGATATGATACCAATATTCCTTCATTTTTGAAGACGGGACACAAGAAATAATGTTTCACTTATTGTACCCGTGTGGGGAATCGAATCCGGGTCTTTGGCGTGACGAACAAACGCTTTTACCACAAGACTGACTCATCGCTCCTGTCTTATGATACATAATCAAAGCTTTACATGTCAAATACAACATGACAGAACCAAAGTGGATCGCTGACCAATGCTCGATTTCAGACCCAGAGCTGAGTCAATCTGGACTTGCCAAAGCTTTCTAAACTGGAGTTGGATTCGATTTGAATTCATTCTCTGTGTTCAGGGAAATTTGGTAGGTGTGTTGTTTAATGTGGCCTATAAAAGAATCTCCCCTCACTTAATGTACGGCAGTTTTTAGTTCAAGACAGGATATTGTTTACAAATTCTGGTCTTCTTTTCATTTTTTTCATTGATTCACTGAGTCCAATTCATATCAGCTTGTGATATTAAAGTGTAGAATAACTGTAAAATATGCATAACATACCACAAAAATGTAAGATTAAAAATACGATTTTAAAATTAGTTAAATTGTAGGAGATGCGATAATTGAAATAGTCAGCAAATTTTTAACAGGTTCTTAATATGAAACGTATTTAGTTTTAATCACGTAGTTCAGGTAGGTTCAAGACAAAATATAATTTAAACATTTTCTTTGGTGGTAACCTCTTTATGTTTGAAAATGCAGTTTGAAGCAACACAATGTAATATCTTCTGATAAAACTTACCGATCAAACCACCAGTAGGCGGCCATGGCGAAATATGGCGTCCAACAAAGAATAAACACGCTCACTGAAAAGAAGTATAGATATTGGGTAAATAACGATTTACTATTATAAACTCTATACTTTTCCTTATTTAAGATTCTTATGAAATATCAAGTTATATCAACTTTTCTTAAAAATGTCAATGTTATCAGGTTTCTACAGGAATTATCATGAAAGCACAAAAAGCCAAAGCCTTGTGATAATCACGCATTTTTTCTGTGTTGAGAGACATTTGAGACCCTTATGTTTGACGTCTAAGATGACTGGCCTGTTCTAATTTCACATATAAATAAACACATTGCTGATTAATCATCTTTGTGTGTGCGTCCACGAACGTGCGTTTGTATGCGTACGCACTTGTGCAGTTGTTGTGTTTATATGTGTATGTATGGCTGCGTGTTTGTTTTTAGAAAAGGGAAGACGTTTGAAACAAACATACCAATAACTAACGTCATCTTTAAAGTCCGTATCTTGGCCTTGCCCATCCTTCCCGAATTCGAACATCGGATCCCTCCTCGTGTCTGTCTGGAGTCGACAATGATATCTGCACAGACATAAAGACAGTCGCAATGTACTCACAGGGAACTCTTACCATTGAAATTAAAGACCACAAGAAGGGCAAGAACCTAATGTACTTTCTGTGACAACAGTGGTTAACAAACGATAATTTATACAAGTGTATTCCACAACAGTTAGGAGAAGGTCTGGCATACTATAGGGCAATCATGTAATGGTCTCTCAGTTAGAACAATGTTTAACATTCTATAACGACAACAATGCATTGTTCTCTTCTTTGGACAATGTTAATATAATATAAAGACAACAAGATAGTGTTCTCTCTGTTACGACAATGGTTCAATGCTATAAGGACTGACAAGTAATGTTCTCTCCGCTAGGACAATGTGTAACATACGATGTAAGGACAACAATGTAAAGTTGTCTGTATCATACACTATAGATACTAATGGAGTGACAACGACTTCAATTAAACATTATCAATCACCCCTCACAGATATTACCACATTGTCATAATCACCCCTGTCACTACCACATTGTTTGATCAGTTTTAGAAATATACTTAATTATACTTGTTCAATATGGAGAAGATATTCGTTGATCAAATCACAATAAAGAGTGGTGCTGATTATGTATATTTTGAACCAGTGGAAAGCAAATAGCTTTCACGACGTAAAGACGTGACACAGGAAATTGAAGATGAGCTGTAACAACAAATACACGCACGAGAAAGTATACAGCATTGTATTATAAGTATACAACATTGTATTTAAAGTGTATAGCATTGTATTTAAAGTATATAGCATTGTATTTAAAGTATATAGCATTTTATTTAAAGTATATAGCATGGAATTTTAAGTATACAGCATTGCATTTAAAAGATATACCATTGTATTTTAAGTATACAACATTGTATTTAAAGTATATAGCACTGTATTTAAAGTATATAGCATTGCATTAAAAGTATATAACTTAAATTGTATATAAACGTTTACAGCATTGTATTTGAAGTATATAGCATTGAATTTTAAGTATACAACATACATTGTATTAAAAGTATGTAGCATTGCATTTAAAGTATATAGCATTGTATTTAAAGTTTATAGCATTGTATTTAAAGTATATAGCATTGTATTTAAAGTATATAGCATTGTATTTAAAGTATTTAGCATGGTATATTAAGTATACAGCATTGTATTTAAAATATATACCACTGTATTGAAAGTATATAGCATTGTATTTAAAGTATATAACATTGTATTTTAAGTATATAGCATTGTATTTGAAGTATGTAGCAATGGATTTAAAGTATATAACATTGTATTTAAAGTATACAGCATCGTATTAAAAGTATACGACATACATTGTATTTAAAGTGTATAGCATTGTATTTAAAGTATAAGCATTGTATTTAAAGTATATAGCATTGTATTTAAAGTATATAGCATTGTATTTAAAGTATTTAGCATGGTATATTAAGTATACAGCATTGTATTTAAAATATGTACCATTGAATTTAAAGTATATAGCATTGTATTTAAAGTACATAGCAGTGTATTTTAAGTATATAGCATTGTATTTAAAGTATATAACATTGTATTTAAAGTATACAGCATTGTATTTTAAGTATACAGCATTGTATTTTAAGAATAGAGCATTGTATTTTCAGCATATAGCATTGTATTTATGCCGTTCTGCAAGCACAGAAAACCTCTCCCTGTCATAATGCCGTTGTTCTCATTGTTTATGAAGGCCGTCTGCTTGGAGAGTAATTTCGACTCGCTTTCCCTCCCACGTATGTAGGAAACGAGCCTATTCTTGGCGATAGTGAGTAATTGAAAGCTCACCTTTGATCCCGTGTACATAGGTTGACCAGCCTCTTAACGTCATTGATAGTACTTTTGGTGTTTTTAATGAAATTTGTTTCTTGTTTAAATTGATGACATTGTCGTGGTTTGTTATTAGGCACTACACAGACCATTAAAATGACTTAATTTAGCCTTCGTGTCTCTGTCGTGAGCGAGGGGGCTAGAGTGATCAGTATTTCACTGATATCCCGGCGTGTAGGCGGTGCAGTGTCTCAGATTGTGGACATTTTACACCAACAATTAAAGTCAGCCGGACACAGGATCCTGGCGCATTGTGAACATTGCTGGACGCGGCACAAGGGCCGAGCATTACATGTGTCCGTAGAAACCCCCATGCTTATCCAAGAGAACCAGTATCACATTTATAACATAGGTCATATTTGGGATTAAACATTCCCATTAAAATACACCATTGAGCCATAATCATTGTTATACCGTTAATCTCGCTTCGTCTTCACATTGTTAACTTTGTACACTAATCATATCTAACGTTCGTGATTATATTGTTATCTTTGTACATTCTGCCACCTTGCGTTGTGTGAACATGTTTTATCTATATATATTAACTCTGTGCACTTACCAACATGCGCCTTATGAAGGAGCAAGAACTTTGAAACGTCGTGGTAAAGAATATAAAGGAGTAGTTATCCATAAAAAGGTGTGACGGATTCATGTTCGTTCACCATCTAAATGCCTTTCAAGAACCTTAATTCCAAGTATAACATATCTTACAGTTGACCACTCTTTAAAAGGTATTGTGCATTGTAGTATCAAATTAGTATTACGAAAACCAAGAATCACGTTTTTGTTCAGGAAACTGATAACGTCGACGTCAGAGGATAATCAGTGTCGAATGTCTGTGGAAAACGATTCAACTGGGAGTAAAACAACACATATTGGTAATTGTAACCGACTGGAATACTGAAAATCAGTGATGACACCAGATGATCCCGATGCCCTTATCAAGAAAGTGAGTGTTTGCATCAAGTCGCACATGATCCGCCTGTCAAATGATGTCAGTCTGCACGCTATCGAGAATAACTTGACTACCCACTGATGGAGATCAGGCAATCAAGTGTCACTAAAGCACGCATCCAAAAGGAATTTGAAACTGAAAGCTTATGTGTATATTTTTGCTGTGTACTTGTAAAGAGAAACACGTAAAGAGTGAGTATAGTTTTTTGCCACTATTTGTTAGCAATATTCCTACAATATTACGGCAGGGGACACCAGAAATGAGCTTCACACATTGTACTCATGTGAGGAGTCGAACCCAGGTGTTTTGCGTGACGAGCGAACACTTTAACCACTGGGCTACCCAGCCGCCCCACTTAAGAAACAAAGTTTGGGGTGGTTTTGAAGAGATCAAATATCACATGTATATTACGGAGAACATGTCTCACATGTTTCTGCGAAACAATCCCAAATTGCAAGTACCACATACACAGGGCGCCTCAATCGAACAGACCATCCGATGTATCATCAGCAGATTGTGCTCGTGTATAGTTACTGCATCAAATCCTAGGAGACCATCTTCGCTTGTCATTTACATTCTAAGTTGTTTACGTGTTTCCGAATGTTTGAAGATGAATAGGAAATCTGGAGTAGCCTTGAGTTTACAGTTCTTTTAGGATTCTTTCTCACTATTAATATATTTGTCAAACAACTGTTGTCAGAAGTCGTTTTAATAATTCTTTTCGACTTTTTTCGATAACAAGATTACTCCATCTATTTTATTGAGATTGACTGTTTTCATTATCAGTTAATCGATGCTGCGGCGTACACGTTGGTCTTTGATTTTCGATTCGGAACCTAAATAAACCAGTCGTAATTGGTTTAAATGTTTTTGTGTGTTCCTGTGTTTTTCACTGGAGTCACAGCGTACTTGTTGCGGTGTCGTTATGTGATTGGACTGGAGCCAACAGCTAAATCATAGTCAGTGCATCAATACGCCATCCTTTCATCTCAGCATCATCTTTCGCTGTTTAATCTGGAAGTGGCACAGTATATTTTCAATCTTTTTATAAGTGTTTAGATCAACTCGAATATGTTTAACAAATTCGCTCTTTGATAAAACCTTGACGTAATTAATTTGAGTAGCTCGCAGTTATTAAAATGTGTTCTTGTTGCTATGAGGATGAAAAGTTGTCGAAGCGATATCAAATCGTACTCGTTCATAATAGAATCGCTATCCTCTGAGTTTTTGAATTTGAAGTGTGAAGCAGAGGGAAGTACTGACCACGCAGACAGAGGCTATATCCGGAAAAATGATCACGAAACTCCAGTCGAACAAATATTAGAAAGCACATTCTGGGAAATGATTGCTGGGTGTTATCGTATTGAGGCAGAGAAATATCGTATTCACCAGCAGTGAGACTGAACCAGGAATATACCCGATTCAGAGCTACAGATATCGTGTCCAATGAGAATGGTTCCGGAATACATCGTGTTCCGACAAAAAAATCAAATGACACATGCAGAAATTGTTCGAGTCCAGGCAAAAATATCTGTCTCGAATAAGAGGCAGGTAAAAGTAATGGAACCCAGGCAGAAGGATATATTCTGATGGAAATACATATCGTGATGTTGTAAACAGACAGAATAATACAATAGCTACACCCTAGCTAGCCCAAACACCATATAACTATGTCTCAAACTTCGATTACCTGAGGCACGACATTATATTATGATGAGTGAGTGAGTGAGTTTAGTTTTACGCCGCTTTTAGCAATATTCCAGCAATATCACGGCGGGGGACACCAGAAATGGGCTTCGCATATTGTACACATGTGGGGAATCGAACCCGGGTCTTCGGCGTGACGAGCGAACGCTTTAACCACTAGGCTACCCCACCGCCCCTATATATGATGAAGAGATTGGGATATATCATATATTAGGAATGGAAAGTATTTGCTGTGCTCGCCATGAACACGCAGATGTTCTTATGGTTTCCATATTTTTCTGATTACGGTACCAAAACATACTCGTGTAATAGTCTCTTTTCCATATAATTCCCCATACAGGCCGACTAGAATTACCGACCAGGAAGAGACTTCCTGAATTAATGTAACTGATAGTAGTGTCACTGAAGACAATGTTTAGAAGACATTACAATACATATTTCCTTAGAAGATTTGAAGAACTCTGTATAGATCTTGAA